CTGCCACATATATAACAAAACGAGTCGGGGCTGTTTAAGCACTTACTATGTGAAATAGTAGAGGTAGACATGATCTAAAAGAAGTAAACACCGTTAAAAGACTTAAAAATGCGGCACAATACACACTATCTCAGGTGTAACTAAATAGCCTTAAGTGCATCGCAAAATTTCGATTGTTTATAAACAACAATTATACTTGTTTATAAATAATAATTGTTTATAAACAATAATTTTTTAAACCTTCTTTGATTTACGCTCGATCCAGCGAAGAGTCCCAGCGGTGGTCACATTAATATAAGCTGTAGAAAAAAAATTTGACGTGATAGAAAAAAAGTAATAACAGTTTTGAAATCAGCATGCCCTTTTTACTTAAAAACAGCTGAAAATTCAAAAACAACAGAAATTGTGTTAAAAATTGTTCCCCAGTGTAATCGTTTCAAAATAGTTAAATAATTTTCTTTAGTAGTTTTATTTTTAAAATAATACAGAACTCTGCAAACACACTTTACTAAATTTCAACAAGGCTCCAATCGCCAACCAGTTTTTGTCACACCGAAATAAGCGATTTAGAAATAAAATTAAAACGTTAAACCTAGAATTTACAAAGTTATAAAGGAACTACAGATTTTCGGACTTTATTATATCGGTTTACCAAAAGTGAAGGTTGTTGCATAACCATTCAATTACTTAATGTCATTCATAATTAGTGATACAATTCGGTATTCTAATAGATTTGGTAAACACATTAGAATATACAGAAGTCAAAAAAATACCTCCAAAACCAACTACTAAAGGAAGCCCCTGAAGAAATTTACGATTTACTAACGATACTTTTAACAAAAATTTGGCCATCTAATGATTAACGAATTAATCAGTCGTTGCGAACACATAACTAACAAAACAGGACCAAGTCTATAGACTTAAAGAGATCGTGAAGTCAAGATGTTGATTCTAACATCTGTTTTAAGCATGTTTCTAGGGTTGTTTCCACTCCCACCCAAAATCCGTTTTTGCCATAATCGTTTAAGGACCAAGTCTATGCGTACGCATATATGGGTAGGAGTGGAAAAAACACTAGAAACATGCTTAAAACAGATGTTAGAATCAACATCTTGACTTCACGATCTCTTTAAGTTCATCGAAGTGTTTTCAAAACAAAGGCTGCAGCGCGCTGTTCAAACTCAATGAGGCTGTGAATGTCCAATTTTTGTATTTCATATTTGGAATCTACCTAATACGAGTAATACTCAGCAATGCAAAAAGACTACCCTCATTTTTTGTCAAAATAAGGGGAATAAACGCTTATATTTGACACAAAAATCTCTTTTAATTTTATTATTGTCAAAGTTATAGTAAAATACATTTTTTTCAGTGAACAGTGTTCACTTTTTATAACTTATGCTCTTGAACTGATTTACCTTTTCAAGCTATGTACAGTACAATAGCTAGATGAGCTTTGTAGTTCTAAAGCTATTGCGTTTATAAACTGTTTTTGTTGATTATTACCACTACATGAAACAGGACAACTTTGGTGATATGTAAAACAAATATTAGAAATATTCCCCAACACCAAAACACAAAGTCACATAAAAAAATCTAACATAGTTAGATTTAGCAATCTAAATTGTTATTTGCTCAATTAATTACTATTAAACCAAAATAGGGAAACATTTTGCCCAAATGTTACAGAATTTATTGCGTTAAATGTATACATAGTATACATACTATAGTAACGTTATTAAATAAATCAAATTAGTATTTAATGCAATAACATTCTAACAAATAAATATCAATAGATTTAGGAGCGATAACTTTTGTTGTTAATTTAAAAACAGTAAACGATTATAAACCAAGTGCTAACTACCTATTGACATTATAGGAACTGTTATTCAGGAATACGGATTACAAGATCCCATTGGTTTAATGGCTCACCCATTCATGCTATGCTAGCGTTTTTTGTGCGCTTAAAGTACTTTCGCTAAGGTTGACTGAACCGTAAACGGACACAGTTTACTAAACAGTTGACCGTAACCGCTTCAGTGAACACGTAATTGTATAAATTAGTTTGTTAGCTTCTCTTTCTAACATGGTAGGAGAAAAGTACTTTAAACACTTTTTGTTTTGTTTTGGTGTTGGGGAATATTTATAATATTTTATTATTACCACTAAAAAACGTTTCTTAACATAATATGTAAACATCAAACTAGATTGTTACAGAATTTATTTGGGTATGCATGATGTTAAAATAGATAATATTTGAATTAAAAAAGTTTATGAAATTAAATATCTTTGAGTGAACATAGGCGATACCCTAAGTTTTAAAAGTAATTTTTTGCTAATAATGAACAAAATGTCTACAAAAAGTTAATTTTAGTGAGTAACTATCTTCGTATGTCAACTAAAATTTTATTATAGAAGTCTATATAATATTATAGAACCACACTTGGATTATATTTCCTTTATATAATTTCTTTTAAATAAAAATGAAAAAGATCAATTATTTCGCATTGTAATAGATATAATCCTATTAATATTATGTTGGAGGTCCTAAATTATAAAATAAAAAATAAAATGACGCCGTCATATTTATATAGAAAATTAAAATTTGTAAATAATATTCATAAACATAATACAAAAGCTGGAAATGATTTTGTTTATAAATACTGCAAATAATTGCATACTGTATTAAGACATTTTTTATAGTTGTATTATTGAACTTACCTTTGATAATAAAAAATCCTACAATTATTGTGCATTTAAAACTTCTTCGTCTTTCTTTGTTTTTACAAACGTTTAATTTTATTTTGATTATATATCTACTTATGTAAAGTATGTATAATATTATAATAGCTTTTGCAATTAAACGATTTATTTATTTATTTTATAAAGGTGCTTTGGTTTGATTTTGTGTAATTTTACAATGATAAAAATGTATTTTTTTATTAACGTGCGATTAAACATTTAATTGCAAAATCATTATCTCGTAAACTATTTATAAAAAAATGATGAATATGAGGATATTGAGAAATAAATGCAATGAGCAATAACCTTCTTATTACAATAACAATATAAAATTTTAACACCATATTTTTTGGTATTAATTTTAATTATGTACTAGTTTTAATTCAATTGGGAACGATTTTATAAGGGTTTAAATGATTAAAATCCTAACTTAACTTTCTTTGGGAAGTTAAACCTTAAATTATTTTAAAAACTATTTAAAATTTTAGTATGAAATTATAACACAACTTTTATATATTTATAATCTTAATTCTGTACAAATATAAATTTAATGGGATTAGTATCGGCAATTTTATACTGGTTTAAATATAAAAATCGGCATTTGTTTATTAAAAAATGATATAAACAACCTCAGCAAGCTGAGCTTGGTGCTCGCTGCGGGTGGGAATCGCGCCGCGACCGCTCCACCTAAACTGGGTAGTAATTTTAAAGATGAATTTTATATTTCTCACGTCTTCTGTCACCTTATATGTGTCATCTGTCAATTGTCATATGTCACCTGTCATTTGTCACCTGTCATCTGTTACCTGCCACCTGTCATCTGTAACCTGTCATATGTCACCTTTCACATGTCACATACCATTTGTCATCTGCCATCCGCCATTGGTCATCTGTCACTTGTCATCGGTCATATATCCTCTGCCAACTTGAGATCTGCCACTTGACATATGTCACCTGTCCACTTGATACCCGTCAAAGTGTTGCTGGATACTTTGTTGGGTTCCCCGGTATATGATTTGCGAAAAAAATTAAATCTACTTTAAGTCAACTTGAAATTCGTCACTTGACATATGTCATATGTCACCTGTCAAAGTGTTGTTGGATACTTTGTTGGGTTCCTCAGTATATGATTTGCGAAAAAAATTAAATCGACTTTAATTCAAAGATCAACCCGATAAACGAATTTAATTATTTATATTTTTGCGTTTGGGAATAGTCTTGTTCCAGCACTTGAGAAGGCACCACGCGAGAGCGAGAGCTCTTAAAACGTAAAAGTTCAAAGATTAAAACCAACAATAATTTTTAAAATGTGCAAACCAATTATAGTGAAACAAACAATTTTCATAGAGTGCAAACTAAAATGTTGCACCTGTCATTGGACGCTTTTCACTGGACAAACAAAAGAGGTCAAACAAGAGGGGAGGTGGCCATCCGCAAAAAATTGATAAGTAACTTTAAGCATATGCATGATCTAACACATAATCTGCAAATTAAACACGACAGATATCTTTAAAACCCTAAGAAAGGCACACTGCGTAGGACAATAAATCTGTCAACAACCAATGCGTAAGGCAAACCCAAAACGAGACCAATAATAAACACTAGACACACAGAATAAAGTAACACATTAATCATTAACATAGTAAAAAAAGCATAATAACCAAACTCTACTGGATTTGTAAACATTAGATAACAGAATAATTGCGCTTGTCATTTGTTAAACTAATAAATAAATGCAATACTTAATTTTGAAATTTAAGAAAAAAAGACAAAACTCTACCACAAAACGTGCTTGGGCAACTCAATAACTAAAAAAAAATTGAACTTTCGCACTACTGCGGCAATAAACAATTTAAAAAAAAACACCCAAAGCTACAAGTTACATATCCAGCTACTGAACTATCTATTGATGGTTTTCGGCATCAAGACTAAGGACACAGGTAATGACAATAACAAATAAGACGAAGACGTCGACTAGGAAACTACACCCCTGCAGCGAAATAACAACTCACAAATCCAAATAGTAATCCCAAATGTTTGGAGTGATACTAATCGACTGGTCTAGGGGGATTCCGCGTCGTACTTAGTTTTAAGTCGGCGTAATTGTCCCCCAAAAACCAACAAACGTCTATCCCTCCCGTCCCTCCTCCTCTATACCCTACTGGGCGTATAGCATCGGCTCGGCGAACCCGAGAATGGTTATTAAAACTATTCGCATGTCGGTCTCGAGCCCCAAATAGGGGACAGTACGGAACGCAATGGACATTCGCACCCAGCAAACACGGGTGAAGCCGTGCAGTTGCTGGGGTAGAACAAAAATCGGCGTAAGTAAACATAGGCCTGTACGGGGTCCGGGAGTGATGAGGCAATGGGGCTGGTTATACGTCTCTTATACTCATACTCATATTTTTGCGTTTGGGAAAGTTTTAGAAAAGCTGGCAACGCCGCATTATTACCTAATATTTTGTTATTGATTTGATTTCGGGGATTTTAATTGGTTAACTTTTTTAAATACCCAACAAAAATTAAACGGGCTTCCGGCCGATTAATTTTCAAGTATGTCAAACTTTGGTCTTTTACCGATTCGTCTATTTCGTTCGGCAAATTCGAAAATTTCTCTCGCCCTACAAAAACGTTTAAAATTTTTTAGAAAAAAAATCAAAAAAAGATCGCTGCTCGAAAAGTTTCCGGCGGATCCGGCCCGTTTGCAATAGGAAACGAATTATCGTCCCGAAGCACCTTTTCCTCGAGTTTGGCCGAAAAATCTCCGCTCGTTCGAAAGTTATGCGATTTCAGTCGGAGACATATCCATTTTATAAAGTAAGAAGACACCTCAAAATTTAAACATTAATTTGCAACAAACAATTTGATAGCTTTTGAAAGCCGTGTATGACATGTCCAAGTATGGGATGATTCAACAAAACTGTCACTGTCATTCTTCATAGCCTATGGATGGACCATAGCAACCTTAGTTCTTCATGTATACAGAAAAATATTGGAAATTGCAATGTTTTTTAAAAAAATCCATATTTTCCACAAAAATAAATATATCGGGGTGAACCAAAACTGTTAAGAATAGATGTGACTTGATAAATAAAACTTAATTTAGAACAATATACGGTTTTGCCACTCTACAGAGTGTCTTAAACTTATGGTAAAAAACATATTTTTGTTTAAACCTGTATATTATAAACGTACGTCTATTTTTTAGTATTTTTTTTAAAATGTGAGCGATTGTCCATTAATTCATCTACAATATTCTTTAATATTCGTTTAAATCCGACTTCAAATAAAAAAGTTATTTGCGATTGAAATTCATCGAAAATTTGTGTGGATCGATTATTTTTTGAGTGTAGTTTACGAGATAATAATTATTTAATAAACGCTGCAGAAATGTTCTGCTATTAATAAATTGATTTTTTTCAAAAAAAATTATAACCTGACCTGATATTTATAAGAACATTATTTTCAAGTACCTACCTACCTACTTAGTTATAATTTTTCTTTCAACGTCAAAAATCGTAGGAATATTTAAGAAATTTGTACACATCCAAAATAAGTGTGTACTTTTTTGAAAACCCAATAAAGATTTATTACATTTATTATTATTATTACCAAAGTCAGCAACCCCTTGTGAAGTAATTAAAAGGATACATACGAGTCGACGTGATTTGTTGACTAATTCAATGGAGCGATAGCACAAACCATTTAGTAAAATTAAGTGTTTATTTATAATTTTGATAATTATATTAATTTACAGATATGTAGTAAGTGGGGGAGCCGAGATAATAGAACATTGAAAATATCAAATTTAGAAATGTCAGTTGTAAGAGAAGAGCAGCGGCCCGTAGCGCAGTACACTGATTGCGAGCTGAGCGTGTTCGAATTTGAATTGTGCTCGTCGTCGCGTTTACCGAGAGAAGCGGCAGCAGCAGCAGCGTCGCCGTCCCCGTGGTCCCACCACGTGCCCAACGTAAACAGAAAAAAGAACCGAGGCAGCAGTAGCGGCGCGAAGGCGACACTTGACATGTAAAATGTCTGTCGGACAAACAACTAAAAGACAAGACGATGATAAAGACAGCGTCAGCCCACCGCCCCCTGACGGTGGTTGGGGCTGGATGGTCGTGTTTGGTTCCTTTATGATACACGTGATAGGTGCGTACCACTTCCCTTTTACACTTTTACTGTTATTTGCTTAACTACGGTTTCGCGAAAGGATCGAACGGTCGATTTGCAAGGGTTCAAGAAATCGATTATTTCTACATCTAAATGCAGTACTTTAAAAAAAAAAAAATCTCGTCCATTGACAACTTTGTTTTTATTTTTTTCTTCCACGTGTTAAAAATGAAGAAATTACATTTTTTTTTAAATAACTTTTTTATTTTAAAACGATTCGATTTGAAATTTGCACAAAATGTAGATCTTACTAATGACAATTAATCCATGAAAAAATTTTGCTTAGATTATAACGTACAGGGGGCGCTGTAGACCAGGGTCGATAATTTTTGAAACCAAAAAAAATAACAGTAGGATGAAACCCATTGGAAAAGGAGAAGAATATAATAAAAATGAAAGGAAAAATAAATTACGGGCGATCTGACTTCGGGAAATGGGAGGGGGGGGGTTTAAGGGTAAAAAGTGGTTTATCTCGATTTCCGGCAAAACTACAAGTCCTATGGAAAAAAGTTAAATGGCAAAGTTGTAGGTAATAAAAGGATCTACACCTTTTGTAATTACAATTTTTTTACATAACCTCAAAATTTATGTGAAAAATTCAAAAAACCAAGTTTTTGGTTTTTATTTTTATCTTTAAAAAAAAAAATTTCCACGAAATTTGGTAAAAACTTACCTTTTTATGTCCCAAATACACTGTAATTTATTTGATTTGAAATATTTATTATTTAAACGAATATTAAAGAATATTGTAAATAAATTAATGGAGAATCGCTCACATTTTAAAAAATTACTAAAAAATAGACGTACGTTTATAATATAGAGGTTTAAACAAAAAGATGTTCTTTACCATAAGTTTAAAACACTCTGTAGAGTGGGAAAACAGTATATTGTTCTAAATTAAGTTTTATTTATCAAGTCACATCTATTCTTAATAGTTTTGTTTTTGGTTCACCTCGATATATTTATTTTTGTGGAAAATATGGATTTTTTAAAAAAACATTGCAATTTCCAATATTTTTCTGTATGCTATGGTCCATCCATATGTTATGGAGAATGACAGTGACAGTTTTGTTGAATCATCCCATACTTGGACATGTCATACACGGCTTTCAAAAGCTATCAAATTGTTTTTTGCAAATGAATATTTAAATTTTGAGGTGTCTTCTTACTTTTAAAAATGTCTCCGACTGATGTTGCCCTTTGTACTTTACTTCTTGTGACGTTTAAAACACTTGCCACGTAATACTGTGACCGTCCATCCTGGATTAAATTAATGGCTCTGGCAACATCAGTCGGAGACATATCCATTTTTTAAAACAAGAAGACACCTCAAAATTTAAACATTAATTTGCAAAAAACAATTTGATAGCTTTTGAAAGCCGTGTATGACATGTCCAAGTATGGGATGATTCAACAAAACTGTCACTGTCATTCTCCATAGCCTATGGGTGGACCATAGCAACTTTAGTTCTTCAAACAGAAAAATATTGGAAATTGCAATGTTTTTTTTAAAAATTTATATTTTCCACAAAAATAAATATATCGAGGTGAACCAAAAACAAAGAGTAGATGTGACTTGATAAATAAAACTTAATTTAGAACAATGTACGGTTTTGCCACTCTACAGAGTGTCTTAAACTTATGGTAAAAAACATCTTTTTGTTTAAACCTTTATATTATAAACGTACGTCTATTTTTTAGTATTTTTTTAAAATGTGAGCGATTGTCCATTAATTTATCTACAATATTCTTTAATATTCGTTTAAATCCGACATCAAATAAACAAGTTATTTGCGATTGAAATTCATCGAAAATTTGTGTGGATCGATTATTTTGCCTGTGAGTGTATTATAAAATATTATTTATTTATTTTTTGTATTCGAATTACGTAGATTAGTATTTTTATATGAAACCACACCATAAAAACCGCTATTAGATTATTTTATCAATCTCGTCATATTGTATCAAGTTTTCAAGGCAACGTTGTTTATAAAAATACATAGTTATAATATGGGTGAATATTTTTGGTTGTTTCACTGTTAGTCTAAAGTGTATTCAAATCCAAGCTGGACTAAACAAAAACGCCCAGTCGCATAATAACTCGTTCTTATTGGTCGATTCTGATGGTGTGACTAGGATTGTGAGTTCTTATTGGTCGATTCGGAGGATTGTGTTTACATTTAGTCCAGCTTGGATTTGAATCGACTTTAGAATAGGGTTTTTGGGAAGCCACCAGGACTAGTATAACATAACATAAGTGGTTCTGCACTAATGCAAGAATTTTAAGAAATCATACATTTTGAATATCAGAGCTTTACGGAGGTTATGATTTCGTATGTTTTTTTTAAACATTTTTTTGTATATTTGAAATAAGTTATTGTATCTTTTGACACCTTAATATTTTTTAAAAATACAATTGTACATACATAAAATATTTATAAAAAATATCTACTTACTGAGATATTACACTTCACGGTGGATAGGTTTTTAAATAGCAAATTAATGAACTTAAACTTTTGAATTATAAAACAGCAACACTCTCATCTGCATTATGCAGAAATCACATGCATCTATAATGTCGTAAACAGAGGTTTTTGCTTATTTAAAATGATTAAAGCTTCATCCGTTGCATAAAATTTAAAGCAAAAACAGATTCACGGAGGATAGAATCAATTTTTTAACACCTACATAAATGGTTATAAAAATTATTTCTTTTAATTTTTCATAACATTTTATATTTGATTCGATTGCTTTGGATGTGTTTAATTTACTTAGTGAACTGATATTTTTAGTATGCTTTTACTACCTCAGATATTTGAAAACATATAGGTTGACATAGAAAGAGTAACAGTCACGGAGGATAGGTTTAAGATTTTTAAAATATTGTGATAGATAATTAATTGCGGTTAAAAATCTGGAAGCTGAGCTGTAATATCTACTTAATTATGAAAGATCAAAACACAATAAAAGTGTAGGTCAAACTAATTTAGTTTTATTAAATATCACGGGGTAACACCATCGGGGGACATTTCGTGAGATTCACCCATATATAATGATTTTTTGAAACAAATAAAATACATAAAATACATTTGACAATCATGCCATAATCTCTTTTTTAGTTTGCTTTAGTAACGTTTGCCTAATTGTGCATTATATTACTTCCCTAAGGGCCGGTTTATCAATGTCCAGTTAAAGTTGCAGTTAACTGTTATCTGGTGGATGGATACAGGGCCGGCGCAACCTATAGGCAAACTAGGCAAAAGCCTTGGGCGGCAAAGTCAGGGGGCGGCAAAATCAGGGAGCGGAAAAAATCAATTGGGTTAAAATATAAAAATAAATAAAAATTGGTTGCGACCAAGCTATAATTTCGAATTTAAAAAATGTAAACACTTCTTAAGAATAATTATTGAATTTACTCAGAGGTTATCTATAAAGATTCGGGTTTTTATACAATATCCATAAATTAAAAAATATGACTACTAAGAGTATTTTAAATCATTGTCTCAAACTAGAAGAAATCCTAAAATATAATATTTCCAAAGATATTGATGCTACGGAACTCTGTGATGAGCTAGAAGTGATTGCTAGACGCATAGAGCCAAAGGCTACACCGCAACAAGTTTTAAATTTTTTGTGTGAGCACAAACTTAAAGAGATTTTGTTCAATTTAATAACAGCATTGCAAATTTTGTTGACGCTTCCTGTGTCGGTAGCCAGTGGCGAACGCAGTTTTTCGAAACTAAAATTAATAAAATCCTATATCAGATCGACAACAAAACAGGATAGACTTGTAGGACTTGCAACCTTATCAATAGAGAAAGATATTGCTCAAACTATAAGTCTAACTGAACTTGTATCTGACTTTTCCAAGTTGAAAGCAAGAAAAAAATTAATGTAAATTTGCGAGGGTTAAACCACTGATTTTTTTAAGTTAAAATTCGCTTACAAATTAACGGCTAAGGATAACAATAACAAGGGTAGTCATGTACAACGCGTCGCTAAGCACTGATTAAGCAACGATTAAGCACCGATTAAGCAAGTTTTCCTTATTGATAACGACTGATAAGGAAAAAAATCTCAACACAACTTCCACTAACATTGAACGTTGGTCTCTAAGATTTTAATGTGGTTTACCCCTCGTAAATTTGTAATAAAGTAATTTTTAAGTTTAACGCATCTTCATTTATTTATTTAAATTACCTTATATTTTCGAAACTAAAAAACTTATTAGGTATACATATATATACACATATATATATATATATATATATATATTTTGTCATTACTAGCGCTGATTTGTCCTAAAATATATTTTAATAAGATTATGCAGTTTATGTACTTTAATTAAGTATGAAAAAAGTATAATGAACAAACTTTAAGGGGGGCGGCTCACAGATTTTTTGCCTAGGGCGGCAGGTTCGCTTGCGCCGGCCCTGGATGGATACCATTGTTCTCACAATGATCGATATGGAATTTAACTGTCAGATAGACTAACTAGAACTTAACCAGAGATTGATAAACCGGCCCTAACTCGAACTTCTATAACTTAAATCCTTAAGTCGAATTTTCTCCATAAACACTAATGTTTCGTTCCATTTTACATGCGAGTCGAATTTCTATGACTCGAATATTTCTATAACCCGAACTTATTTATTTACTTTACCCTCAAGAAATATGTAATTTCGAGGCCCTGCTATACAATATAGTATATTATTATACGAGAGATAATGCACATAATCTCGAGTGTAATACTATACTTTATCTACTCCAATAGGCAGATAATTAAATAATTTTCAAAAATAAATAAAAAAAATCTGTCAAATGGTTAACCTCACTTTTTACCAATTTTAAATGTTAATACGCTAAAGAAGTATCGGGTTCAGAGGAAGGTCATTCCTCTGAACACAGAATTGTGTTCAGAATTAAGAAGAAGAAGAAGAAGAAGAAGTATCGGGTTTTCGCAACGCGCGCGCCATCTCGTGGACTTCAAAATCATTGCGTAAATTAACTTTTTTCACAAAAGAGAGGAAGGCAGAAGTCTTACTCGACAAATTTTGTTCAATCGCGCACGTTATTTGTGTTTTACTTTGCAA